GCGGGCACGGTGCCAGGGCTCAGCAGAGGAGCTGTCCCTGCCTGCGAGGAGCCGAGCAGTGTCTCGCTCACAGGGCTTGGCTCGGCAGCGCTGGCAGCCAGGAAGGAATTCAATAAACAGCTCTGTCCTTCTGGAGAGCTCTGCATGGAGCTGGGTACCCACAGCAGGCAGCACAGGCCACAGCAAATGTGTGCCTGACCTTTGCTGAGATCACTGCATCCTCCCCGCTGAGCTCTGTGCCAAGCCCTCTGTAAATGGCACAGGGGACAGACAGCCCTGGGCACCAGTGCTGGGGGCAGTGCAGGTGGGCAGGCACTGCCCAAATGTCTGAGGGCAGCAGGGGGGCAAGAGCTGAGCCTCCCCAGGCTGCATCATTTGGTCTTAGAGCCCCTGAACCCTGTCAGTCAGAGCCATTCTCCTCTGGGAGCAGAGAATCCTGGAAAGAGTTGGCTTGGGACAAAGCTTAAATCCCATCCAGTGCTGATGATGCCTTGTGAGGCTGCCCTAGAGCAGAGGCTGGGCAGAGTCACAGAACAAAGCAGGGATTTATTCCAGGATCTCCTCATGGATCCACCTTGGGCAGCACCAGAGCCCAGCCAGGGCTGCACCCAAATGACCCAAAATGGTCCCAAAATGCACGAGCGCTCCCGGGGCTCTCCCTGGGATCAGTTCTGCTCCATTGGCACCTTGGAGTTCATTGTCCCATTCCAGCTCCAGCCCATCAGTCCCACCCTGCTTGTTTTTCTCTCTCCAGCCCACGCTGTTTGTGCTCCTGGGCTGAGGTTTGGATCATTTGTCCTTGGTGCCCAGCTGGAGCAGGAATTGTTTTGTCTCTCTGCTCTGTGCAGAGAGCTCAGCATCCCCTGATAGGAAGCTCAGACCCACTAAAACAGCACAAAATCTCAAATACAGAAAAGCTGAAACCTGAGGCATCATTTCCCTCCTGATGCCTCAGTGCTACCCCCTCCATGGGCAGGGACACCTGCTGCTACCCCAGGTGGCTCCAAGCCCGTCCAGCCTGGCCTTGGACACTTCCAGGGATGGGAGTGTCCATCCTGACAGCCACCTCATACCAAATTTTAAGGGCATTAGAGGTCTCCATGGCAAGAAAATGCCCAGAATCAGTCAGGTGTATCTGTGCCTCTGCAGATGAGATCTCGTGGTGCAGGTGAAGGGTTTGGTTGTGTCCCCTTGCAGCAGTGAGAGCACACAGGGAATGACCCAAGGAATGAACTTTCTGCTTTCTCTGGTTCTTCTCTGTTGGTGTCTTGCTGGGATTTTCTATTATCACCGAGTCAGAAGCAGGTTTGTGTGCTGGGAGTGTGATTGATTTCCAACTCGCACCTTGCAGTGGGCTGAAAGCAAACCAGCTGGCTTTTGGCTTTCTTGATATTCTTGAAAGCAAGAAAAAAAAATGGGTTTGGAACAAAATATCCCAGCAGCTTTCTCCAGCAAAGCAATGCTGAGGTTTCACTGGGAGCATCCCAGAAGGAAATGAGATTTTGAACCTTTCCTCTATCAGGAGCTGTGGCTTTACAACTTCTGGGGTTTTGCCGATGGACAGGTGGAGGTGTGTTCATTCATTTTTTGTTTGACCCTTTAGTAAAGTCCCACAATGCCAATTTAAAACACTTTGGATTGACTATTGGGCTGGGAAAAGGAAATATCATGTCCTAAAGCTTACAGACTTATCAACCTCAAAACCTTGCAAGGTTTGATGGGCTCAGCTGTGAGTTTTGTGTTGTTCCATATGATTTTTGGGGGAAAACCAAAGGAAAGCAGCACTGAGGTTCAATACAGCATCCCTCCAACAAGGCAAGCAGGAGGGAAGAGGTGATACTGCTGCTGATTTTTTCTGAGAAAATACAAATTTTATGGATGCTTTATGGAGGTTTTATTGTTGTTCTTAATGATTCATTTGACCTCTGATAGCTGCCAGTGAAGCCAGCCTGGGAGCAGAGCCTCTGCAGACAGAGCAGGAGACAGAAATGTCAATTGCCACTTGTTCTGTTCAACCTGATTCCTCCAAACCTGAAGTGGGAATATCTGGAATGGAGCTCAACCTCCATCTGTGCTTCAGGCAAGCAAATCACAGGTCTGTTGTGTTAAACTGCATCCTGAAGAGCTGGGAAAAAGAACCTCCAAGGAGGGAGGAGCAAATGGGAGGGTTTGAAAGTTCAGGAAATATCTTGGTGTGTGTCTGAGGGGTGGGCAAAGCCCTTGGCCCCGTGGTGACATCTCAGTGACTCCTGCCTTGGTACCATCTGCATCTGCAGGGGAGCTTCAGGTCGGATATTGGGAACATCTCTTCCCAAAAAGGGCTGTCCAGCCCTGGCAGGGGTGGAGCCCCCATCCCTGGAGGGATTTAAAGCCCTGTGGAGGTGGCACTTGGGGATGTGGGGCAGTGGTGGCCTTGGCAGTGCTGGGGGATGGTTGGACTCAGTCTCAGAGGGCTTTTCCAACCCAAACTATTCCACAATCCTGTGGTTCTTTAGTTCCAAAGCAGTTTGGGATTTCTCACCTGGCCAAAACCTCTCTTTTAGAGGGATGTGAGAAAGGTGAGGATAGGAGGTATTGTAAATGCAGGCGAACCCAATGGGAAGAAATGACAATGTCTGACTCAATTCAGAAGTCTGAATGATTTCTATAATATATTAATATACTATTTAAAGGAGATACTAAATTTATAAACCTACTTTTTCTAACTCCCATATCCAACTCACTCGCAACTCGTGACCCTCTCTGAGTCCAGCCCCAGGTGGGTTGGATTGGCCATCAGACTCAAACAATCCTCACCAAAATCCAACCAAGCAATCACCCCAGGTAAACAATTCTCCAAACACATTCCACATGGGAAAAACAAGGAGCAGAAATAGAAATTGTTTTCTCTTTCATTTCTCTCTGTGCACCTCTATGAAGAATCCTGAGAGGGAGAGAAATGTGCTTGCCACAAGGAGGGACTGACCAGACCCAATGGGAGATCACCTGGGCCTCAAACAACACACAGTTTAAAAAAATTAAGTCAATAATGCACCAAAATTTACCCAGAGAGTCTCAGGCTGAACCTGGAAACCCTGAGCTTCAATAACCAGCCTCTTCTGGCCCCTCACCTTCCACAAAAAGTGTTGTGTGAAGGTTAATTTCAGATTAAGACGGAGTTGGACTAAATCAGACACAATGAGAGCTGATCTAAGCTGTGCTCAGGCAGAATCCAGCCCAAAGTGCTTTTCTGTGCAGCAGGAGCACAGCCTAATCCTCTTATCCTTGGAGCTGGAGGTCCTGGATGGGTGGGAATGGGAGGTTCTATTCAAAGAGAGGATTTTCTCTCTGAATAAGGCTGGAAATGCCAATAGTCACCTGTTCTGCTGATGGGTTCATATTTAAATAAAGCAAATTTCATCCTCATTTCAGCCCTCATGGACCTGGAGAGTCCTGAAGAGCTTCACCAGCAACCACAATTCTTTCAAACCCAATTTTCTTTTCAGAAAGTAATTTCAGAGTCGTTGGATGTTGTCAGCCATGACGTGATTGGCACCACCACGATGAGGGAGAAATGGTCCACCCCAGGCTGAGATCACATCAGGAATTTTTGTTTAAAACTCCTGAAGGTTCTTCCATGCCACTGGGTCTCTCCTCACAGCTCCCTGGCTCCTGGAATAAAATACGTTTTATCAGGAGACTGAATCACAGGACCATGGAATCATTATGGTTGGAAAAGATCTTCCAGATCATCAAAATGATCTGAAATATTGCAGTGAAATTTGGCATCACTTATAACAGCTCAGGTCTCCTCAAAGCCTCACACAAAGGTCTCTTCTGGAGCCCCTGTCTATTGATTTTTCAGTGTAACCACCAAAGGAAATGCAACATTTGGGGCTGGTGCCTCACTGTGTGCATGTCTGACACTCTGTGGCTGTCAAAAAATGATCTTCAGTGTTTTCTTTGGAACCCTGTAATGGTTAAAGCTGGACAAGCTCTCGGATCAGCCTGTCCAAGCATCAACCCAGCATGTTTTTGTAGATGTGGTGCTCATTCTCAGAAAAAATAAATTGAATTTAGCATTTTTCAGCATTCCCTGTGCAGTCCAACATTCCCAGACCTTTTGGGATTCAGCACTTTCACACCACTTGGATAAATAAACCACAGGATCCCCTAAAATGCTGCACCATTAAATTTCTTGCAGCAACAAATGCTGCTTTTAGACATGAAACATTTGCTGTGCTGCTAGAGATTAACAGAGTTTATTAATGAGATTAACAGAGTTTATTAATCCTGTAGAAGTTTGGATTGGCTAAACTCAGTGTGGGCTGAGATATGGCTGCACAGTAGAAATTAATGTCCAAAGAATTTTAATTGTCAGAAAAAAAATTCATTTGGTGTATTTAGAACTAAGGACATTAAAAAAAAATAATTTTGGGGGGATAAAGATATTTGTATTGTGCTGTTTAGAGTATAATAAGACTCTTTGAGGATTTTTCTACTTAAAATGCACTTTTAATGTTTCGCCCTTGCTGCCAGGCTTTGCAACGTCTCCACCTGATATATTGGAAGTGGTAACAAACTCTTGAGATGGATTTTTGAAATCTTTAGACCTCTGACCAGGCTTGCAGTGATGACACAGAGGTAACAATAAAACCACTTGAGAGACATTTAATGGGACACTTTAAATGAAATCCCTGGGGTTGGTGATGGCAGCTGAGCGTGTTCTTGCCATTTTCCCATTTAACAAGAAGAAAAGGCCAAACAAGGAGCAATTAGTCAGAATAAAATCAGCTCTGATGACATTTTCCCTCCTGAACTCTGGTATAAAATGGTCACCTGAGGAAGAACTGAAGGGATATGTGAGGAATTTGGATGTGGTGCTGCATGTTCACGCACACAGTGCTGGGTAGAAAATGAGCAGGTAAAGCCACCACGGGGTTCTTGGTGCATGGGTTGCTCTCTGTTCATATTTTGCTTGATTTTGGTCCAAATTTTCATTAATCTCAGCTTTTCTTTGAAGTCTATGCAGGTTAAACTTGGTTTTCATCCTGTGGATCTCCATGACATTGGTGTGCTCAGGTTACCCAGTTGGCCCTTCCATGGTAAGTCCCATTCTCTAATTGCTCCCAGATTTGTTTCATTCCTCTTGAATCACTTCTTTATTTAAATTAATTTTGTTTGCTTGGTTGCTTCTTTTCTGCTGTGTTTTTTTATTTTTTATAAAATGAAAGAACTTTCTTGTAGTAAAGCTATTGGTTAAATATTATTACCTCATTTTCCTGGAGCATAGCCTAATTTTTCCTGGTGTTATTAATAAAATATGCAAGCCTCTGAAATAATCATGTGAGCAACTCAGTGCATATTTAATGTGTAGTGTGGGGAGCTAAAATCCTGGATGGAAAAGAGAAAATCACAAATCTCCTCTCCATTTAATCTGAATTCCTTGCATATCTCAAAGAGGTGCAATTAGAGATATATGTATTAATTTCACTTACTGCTAGTGAGTTTATTATAATCAACTGATGTATTTAGACACAGCTGGATCTGAGTAGCCACATTTCCAAATGGATGTGTTCTCTTTATGGCAATGATATCATGCTAAAAAGGACATTAATTGCTTCAATAAATGTCTAAATAAAAGTTATTTGTTCAGGAAAATCTAGTGAAATAGCAGATGAAAATTCAAAAATAATTTCTCTGTGCCTGTTTTTGTTTTGTTTGTTTTTATAAGTTTTTTTCTTGCAAAAAGTGTTTTTTCTTGTTAGGGAGAAAATTCTGGGAAATGCCTTATCAGGGGCAGAAGGTGTTGGCTGCAGAAAAAGTCATTAAAAAAACCAAAAAAATTAACTTAATAACCACTATTAAAGAAGAGCAATAAAACACTGAATTAAAACAAATCCTAATGAGGTTAATGGCAATTTTACCAGCAATGCCAGGTGTTAATCCTATGGCTTTGCATGGAATTTTTAGAGATAGCAGAATAGGATTTTTAGATGGAAAATCAGCTGGGAAATCAGGATATGATGAAATACACACAGAGCAACCACAGACATGCCAGGAAATTGTTTTATTTTATAATTCAGCAGTAATTAAAAGCAGTTTATTTTAAGAGCTGTTGAAATATGTGAAAGTTTTTATGTAGTTGGCATTTTTTTGTCCTATAGAGTGCAAGTAAAAGGAATGCATGCAAAACCCTGGATTTTTGTCAGAGTCTGGATTTTTATGCAGACTTTTTAAAATTACCGTTACTACTTTTTATTATTAAACTTACTCAGAACTACTTCCAGAATTGGTCATAACTACTGGAAAGCATCCTCCAAATTTTAGCATTACAGGTATTTTTGTTTTCTCTTACCTGTAATTTAAGCCTCAGAAGTTCACACAGGTTATACAAAACTGGTATTTCATTTTTCCCTGAAAAAAAAAAAATCTCATTTTCCAGCAATAAACACCTGTATTGTTCCAAGGAAACTGTGTCACAGCTGGTCAGCATCACTGAAAACAATTCATATCACACCCTAGACATAATTGTATCAGTATTATAGACCAGAAATGTATAAAAAGCTATGAAAAAATCTGATTTTGAACACAATAAAATAACAGCTCATCCCTGGCATTCAAAGCATAAATTGCTTTTGTGTTTCTACTTTCCTCTGTATACTGAACAAGTCCTGGCAAATACATAAATCCGTAATTTTACCTTTTCTTATTTATTTTTTTTTTCTCCTTGTTTGTTTGTTTGTTTGCCTTTCATCTCCAGAGCGCCAGCCCTTTTTATTGGACCTGCCAGCTGTACAGAAAATGGGATTCGTGCCTGGTGCTGCTGAGCCGCTGCCTCTCCAAGGTGGCCAGGGCTGAGGAGCTGGCTCTTGGCGAGCCTCTCCTGGAGTCCCTTTTCCACAAAAGGTCCTTCCGCAACGGCGTCGGAGCGGGAATTAAAAAAACTTCCTTCCGAAGGGCAAAGCCTTGAGAAAATGTCCCAAAACCCAGCCCGGGGTTTGACATCTGATGTTGCAGTCGTTGCTTCGAGTTCCTTTTGATGCTTTGCTCTGACAAAGCCACCCCCGAGAGTCGCCAGGCGTCGGTCTCGGAGCGCCGCGAGCCCTCGGGAAGGGCTTTGCTCCCAAAGTTACACTGGCATAAAGTTTTGTCTCGAAATGAATGTTTTCATGTGCTTGATTTCCCTCCTTTGTCGGCCTACAGGTTTGAATCAAGCTGCTCTTTGATTAACACAAAGATAATCCCGTGCTTTGAGATGTGCGCACGCGGCCTGTGGGGAGGACGGAGTATTCCCAAAATCCCTCCTCTCTGCCAGGCACGAGGCATTCCTGTGCTTTCCCATCCCAAATCACATCTACATTTACTGAACTGGTAATTTTAATACAGATTTAAAGTACATTTCAGGTTTCCAATGATATGAAGGGCCACTGGTGAAAGAATCAGGCCCCCCTTGTAACTTCTGTTGCTGATTTAATATAGTTATTTAAAATGTATAATTTAAAATATAAATATAAATATAGTTATTTCCTTTGGCAGGAAATAGTCTCTGGAGGTGTCTCATCTCATATCCAGAAGAATCCTGGGAAAACACTCTAAGGCAGGGTATCAGCACTGCTCCCTGTGCCTCAGTTAATTGACTTAGGTAGGCAACACCCAGCTGATGAAATGTGCCAAATATGGGATTTTTTTTTAATTTCCTGTTGGAAAAAAAACCAAACAAACCACCAAAATAAGGAAAACGTTATTTGATGCGAAATTTGTAAATGTGGTGTGGAGGAAAGGTCACCCGATGAGTTACACACGTGTGAGTTCTACTTGTGGCTGTGTCCCCTGAGTGTAACCCAGCCGTGCCCTTGGCTTGAAAATGTGGCAGAGTGTCTCTGCGATGCCTTTTGCAGTCAAAGCTGTGATATAAATTACAATAAATCACTCTATGGATGTTTTCTAATATTTCCCTGTTCAATAGCATGGCTCAGGAGATCGTTTTTAACCCTACAATGAGGTGGTTTGGTGCCATCACCTCTGTGATGCCCCCCCTGAGCTCATGGGGAAAAGTGAGCCCAGCATGGAGCTGTGCTGGTGGGACAGCAGGTTTTCCTGGATGATTTCTGGCTGATCCAAGGAGATCAAACACCTTCCTGCCCGTGTTTGCCCCGGCTGAAAAGTTTAACATATCCTGGTTTTTAAAGTCACTTAAACACTTGAGTTCTTTTGGGGTTGTCTCGAGGTTGCTGAGTCAAGTGGGAACCATGGAACCCAGGAACCATGAAATCCTAGGAACCATAAAATCCTAGAAACCATGGAACTCAGAAACCATAAAATCCTAGGAACAATGAAATCCTAGAAACCATGAAATCCTAGAAACCATGGAACTCAGAAACCATAAAATCCTAGGAACCATGAAATCCTAGAAACCATGGGATCCTGGGAACCATGGAAAATGCCTAAGGAGTGTGCTGGATATTTATTATCTTTGGGTACTATCAGATGGGAGCAAGCCCAGGGTGACACCATGGTGACACTGCAGCCGGGCACGGCCCTGTGACACTCCTGGCTGCTGGCATTTCAGCCATGACAGATGTCCTGCAAATTTTCCATCTCAAACACTCTCCAGGACTCCTCAAGGAGCAGAACAACACTGCCTTTGGCCATGGAAAAGGGAAGGGCTGGGAATGATTCCTGGCAGGTGACAGAAGCAAAAAGAGGTCCTGAGTGCACAGGGTGTCCAGAGCAGCTGTGGCTGCCCCTGGATCCCTGGAAGTGTCCAAGGGCAGGTTGGACACTGGGGCTTGGAGCAGCTGGGACAGTGGGAGGTGTCCCTGCCACGGCAGGGGGTGGAAGGGGATGAGCTTTAAGGTCCCTTCCATCCAAACCCATCTGTGATCCCATGATTCCACGAATCCATTCTGCATCTGCACAGGGCTGTGGGGATGGAGGTGTTTTGTCCCAGTGCAGAGCTCATATCCTCGCCCAAACTATCTTTCAGGAAAACAAAAAACCCCAAACAACTCAGATTTACCTTTGTTTGGTTTTTGAGATCTGTTTTTGCTAACATTTTCCTACATAATCAAATATATTCCTGCCTTGGTAACCTGGGATGAACAAAATTGTCTTTAAGCCAACAGAACTCTGCGTGGAGCTTGGAAAATCAGGCTCTTCCCTTTCATTTATTGTGCAGGAATGAGAGTAACTCATTTAGCGTTTTGGCATTTGTCTTTGGGCAGGGCACGTTCCAGAGGGAGGCAGAGCTGGTGTCCTGCTCCCACGGACCTTCATCCCCTTTTATCAAAAATAAGGGATGCAAGAAAAATTGGCTGCTGGAAAAATCCCATTCTTTATGATTTAGTCAGCCCCTGACAGGCCACACTCCAGCTGGAGGGATCTGCATGTACAAAACAAAGGGACCAGGAGCCATAAGTCATCTAAATCACCTAAATCCAGAGCAAGCCTGGAAAATGTGGATTGTCCAGCTGCCTGTCAGGAGCTCTGTCACTGGAGGGCTGATGTGGCCATCTCAGACACAGGAGACTCACCCTGCAATGCTGAACTCATCTCTGAACTTTCCAGGTGCCTTTGTTTTGGAGAGAACAGAGTGACCTCAGTGATCTCTGTCAGGAAATAAGGCTCTGACAGTGCCATTGCCAGGCACATTAATTTTTATGCTGACAGGAACTGGAAATATGGCAGAAAATGTCTTTTTTTTCAATAATAAGTGAACAATGGGAACAGCTACAGGGGTGCCAACCTGTGCCATAATTGATGTGTTGTCATTAATTTTATTTCTTTCTGGAGAACAGGGATTCATGATGCTGTGAGAAGATAATTTGTGGATTTCTTTACTGTTTTTCTTGGCTAACCTAAAAGAAAGATAAAAGATCAAAGAGTTCAGAGGGTGGGAAGAGAGATACTTTGTGTGGGGATTGAGGAGTGAGTTGGGAAGTTGGGAATGCTCTGGCCAGTCTTGGCTGAGTAATTCAGTCTGTGACTTTAGAAAAATAATTTCTACTCAATTTCCCCATCTGAAAAATAAGGAACTGCCTTCATTGAGCCATTCTGACTAAGCGGTGGCATGACGTATGGATTTGGGAAGAGTTTTGGGACAGAAAAGGGTGGTTTCAATAGCTGGAAAGGCTGAAGGACAGCACATAATTCTGGAATCTATAAGGAATTTTTTTCCTTTCTTTGCTCTAACTTGTATCTATCTCTGGAAGCTTTAGATATAAATTTCCAGTGATTATTCCTTGTTTTTGGGCTGTGAGAACCATTCCTGAGCTCAGCAATCACTGCTTGGAGCAGCCAAACTCGATTTGGCCAGTTTTGATTCTAGTTCAAGCTAGAAACCAGATTTCCCTAAATTTACTGAATAAATTACTTTTATTTTGACATTTATTGAAGAATTAAACTCCTTTTAACTGTGATATCATTGCCATAAAGAGAACCCAATTAAGAAATGTGTCTACTCAGATCCAGCTGTGTCTAAGTAAATTAGTTGATAATAAGTTAATGAATTTATAAACTGGCCTGTGCTGGGCTCTGGGATTGGGTTGATGCTACCCTGAGGTTGTGGGAGCTGTATCCCCATCCCATCCCATCCCATCCCATCCCATCCCATCCCATCCCATCCCATCCCATCCCATCCCATCCCATCCCATCCCCATACCTGGAATGGCACCTTCCAAGGAGCAGGACGTGCCACCTGCTGCTCCTCTGCTCCCCAAAACCCATCTGTGCCTTGGAAGGTTTGAGGTTTCCACAGGTGAGCCTGAAGGGAACAAATCCCATAAAACATCACCAACAAAACCTGCCCAAAGGCAAAAAGAGGAATTAACACTTTTCTTCTTCTTCACAGGTTATTGGCAAGGAAGGCAATTAAACAGCCTGATGTAATAGTACCTAATTAACTTGCAAGCCTGAAAATTCCTTGTTGTAATGACATCCCAATACTCGGGTTTCTGATTGCCCAGCACATATTAAACTATGGATATCACATTTAGGTTTCCTAATTTGCTATTATTTGCCTGTATGTGGTAATTTATTCCCTGAAAATACCAAGAGGAAGAAAGGGAGAAATCTCTTGCTGCTTTTAACTCTGGATATAATTCTGACCTTAAGAAAAAGCAAGACAGATATGAGAGAGTGTATTAGATGTTATTATTACCGTAATAAAAGAGAGATAAAAATCATTGTGCAGAAAGGCTCTAAGACAACTATTAACCATTTGTCATATAAAGAAAATCAAAATTTAACTTATCAGAGAGTCTGGCACTTTAAAGATTCATCATGAAAAATTACTTCAAACCGTGGAGCATTTATGCAGAATGTCATTGATGAGCTGTCTGTTTAAATGTTGAAAGAGTTTGGGGAAAGATTGAAAAAATGTCAAAGATATGGCTTGTATCAGTCTCACCATATTTAAATTTATTTTTGGGAGAGTGAAGCAGCATGGCAGGATGCTTTTCTTCAAGAAAACAAGCTGAGCTCACTGTTCTACCCCAATGGGCCATGGCTGGTGAGAACAACTGAGGTGAGGATGGACCTTGGTGGTTGAGAAAGTGACACTGCTGAAAATCAAGTATCACTCTGGTGTTGGGGTACAGAGCAAATTTGGGGTTAGGGCAATTTTTCTGTCTCTGTGGTGATAGACAGTATTTTTCCTCTAATTCCTTGCCAGGTTTGAAGTCACTGGGTTGTTGATGGTGGAAAAGAAGGTGATCCTAAAAGCTCCATTGGCTGAGACCCGTCTCTTCCACTTCTTCGTGTGAACCTTCCAGAGCAAAAGTAAGGGCTCATTGTTAATGTCATTGTCACTGCTAGAAATGAAGGGATGGGACTATTTCCAGGCTAAGAATGATTTATTGCTCAGATAAACATCAGTCTCAGAGGCCCTGAGATTTTAGAGGAGCAGGCATTTGGCCACAGCTGAAGAGCAGTCACAGGTTCTTGGTTACAAGGCAGTGCAGAACTTTCTAACCCAATGACAGCTGCCACAGGGTTTATTTTGCTTTTCTAACCCATCACCTTTACTCACTTCTGCTGCTCTGTGGATACTTTTGTCCAGTGGGCTTCTAACTCACAGCACACATCTGCTTCTGTTAAAACTTCTAAACTCTTTAGAGTTTATTCCATAATAGAAACAATTTATTGTAACT